GAATTCTTCCCAGAACAAAGCAAATCTTTGTTCCTCTTTGGGCAGGTGAAAATGTTTTGGTTGTGTAATAAGATTTTGCTGCATCTGCTAAAGCTGCCAAGCCATGCTGGACTGAGGAACGATGCTGCGTACACAACAACGCCCCACCCTGCCCGAGCTAAGGTGGGAAAGGAGAGCCTTGCTTCCTCCAGAGCCTTGCCTGGTCCCACCCCCCACTGCCTTCCCCTCACCTAATGAATTACTGGAATAGATTTTTCCGTGTTGAATCATTCCTGAATTTCTAGGTTAAGCCTGACTTTCTCCTGATGCATCTTTGCTTTAAATACTTCTGGATTTGATTTGATTTGTCCATCTTTCATGAATGTCTTTCTTAGCCTCCAGGTCCATAGATATTCAGAGCAATTCTTCCTAAAACAAGATGAGATTTCAGATGCAGAAGCCACCCCCTCCCCAGTCTTAACATAATTTGGACAAGTGACGAGTCATTTAACCAGTGTACACCAGTTAGTCCCTAGAATAGATTAAAACGTTTCCCCAAAAACTGAAAATGCAAGGGGAAGAGGTTGAGAAAAGTAGTTAATTTCTAAATATTGACTCTATTTAGTTTCTGGCTTTGACAATAAGTGATCCCATTTTCCACTCAAACTGTGACTGGTCATCCAACTTGTAGACTCCTAAAATAGGCTCAGTCAGAAATTTCAGAATTTAATTGCCATGAGATTTCTAACTCAAGTTTATCCAAAATAAGACACAAATACTCTTCTAAGACATTAAGTTGGAAATTTACATGTGAGGGAGGTAATCACTACAGGATAAGACACTAGGTTCAAATTTCAAGCCAGCCAAGACAAATCCTTTTTTTTTTTTTTTTTTTTTTGAGACGGAGTCTCGCTCTGTGGCCCAGACTGGAGAGCAGTGGTATGATCTCAGCTCACTGCAAGCTCTGCTTCCCGGGTTAACGCCATTCTCCTGCCTCAGCCTCCCAAGTAGCTGGGACTACAGGCGCCCACCACCATGCCCGGCTAGTTTTTTGTATTTTTAGTAGAGATGGGATTTCACCGTGTTAGCCAGGATGCTCTCGATCTCCTGACCTCGTGATCCGCCCGCCTCGGCCTCCCAAAGTGCTGGGATTACAGGCGTGAGCCACCGCGCCTGGCTGACAAATTCTTAACTAATCTATGTGCTCTTTGCCCCCAGGCATACAGCTGCCAACTATGTGGGTTGACAGACTTAGAATTATAACCATATTTGCTGCTGTTTCTGACAGAAGACAAGCCAAAGTCGCTCTTTTCACATGTGGGTTTTTATTTCTAGTCCTTCACATTGACCACAGAATCGCCTGTGGCTTCCAAACCTGTCACAAGCAGTTTGTTGTTGCTCTTCTGTATGTGATTAAGTGGATTTACCTTTTGTATACTCATCGCTACCATCTCTGTTTATCATCCATTTAGGGACCTTAGACAAGGTACAAGACAAAGAGAAGAGGGCATGTGGGGTGAAGCTCACTAGCTGCCTGCCTGATTTTTCTGCACACAGGTGAGATATTCCTGCACATCCTCTGGGGACCCCAGAATGAGGGGGACTCGCTGGTGAATTGCCTCAGGCTTCACGTCCAGTACAGGCTGGGTCCCCGTGGTCGCCAAGCCTCCTGCCTGCTCAATGATGTAGGCCACAGGATTGCATTCATACAGGAGCCGGAGCTGTGGAGGAACAGAGGCAGGTGAATAAACTCTGCAAGTGGCCAAATGTCTCGAGCCATGCCCCTAAAGTTGGGGGAGCAGTTTGCACTGTGGAGCTTCCATCTGGCTAGCATGAGTGCACCATGCCCCTCACAAGAGAGGGCCCGAGCTTTAGAGCCTACAGCAGGCCAGATGCATCAGATGGCGCTCATCCAGAAGCTTTGGGGCCCCTCTGGCCAGGTGGCTGAGCCAGGTATCTGCCCATCTTGTGATCCCTGTGCTTACCAGGGAGCTGCCTCTTGACTTGGATGAGATCTAGGCTCCTATTTCTCGGTTCAATAAGGGCAAACTGATGCTGCAGACCTGGGTGGAAGCCTTTGTATGTGAGACCTCAAGGCTGGTAAAGAGTCAAGCTTGGATGGGACAGTAAGCTGGGCATGCCGGTTTGCCTCTCTGGGGACAGCCACAGTGGCTGGGATTGTGTGGAGGAACTCCACATCTTAAGCTTTGACTTTTCTAACTAGTTTGCTGGTGTTTCAATGGTCTTGTCTTTTGCCCCTTTAGACTAAGTGAAATCCCATCGTTTGCATCCTGTACTTCCCCTCTGGTACCACTCATCACACTGAGGCCTCTTTAATGCCTGGCTTCCATCCTAGCTGGTCCCTGTACTATCTCCACTCTCAGTAGTGCCTGACACATTGAAAGTGTTGGTTCCTCTCTGTAATCCCAGCATTTTGGGAGGCCGAGGCAAAAGGATCACTTGAGTCCAGGAAGTTGAGACCCCATTTGAGATACTGAGACCCCACCTCTACAAAAAATTTAAAAATTAACCAGGTGTGGTAGTGCACACCTGTGATCCCAGCTATTCAGGAAGCTGAAGTGGGAGGATCAACTGAGCCCCGGAGTTCAAGGCTGCAGTAAGCTGTGATCACACTACTGCCCTCCGGTCTAGGAGACAGAGCGAGAGCCTGTCTCAAAAACAAAGGAAGGGTCCAAGCAAGGCCACTGTGTTTCCTGCACTAGGGGTCCCAGCCGAGGGCAGAAATTGGGTTGAAATCAGCCTGTGCCCTGCTTGCCAGTCTCTGCACAAGACCCCGGGCTGAGCCTGTTCGGAGGAAGGAAGGCCCCTCTCCTCTGACCCTCCTGCAGGCACGTGAGAACTGGCAGGAGGCCGCCTGTGTCCTGTGAGTACGCGGTGAATAGAAATGAATGGGGTTGGATTGAATGGACCTTTTAGGTCTATTTCTGTGATGATGTCATGACGCCCCCAGCCTGACGCATGACACACACCCCCATCACCTTAGATTCAGGGTGTCGTTCTGGCCGAAGGCCCTGCTGCTGTGCATGACTCCGTATCATCTTCTCCTTTCTCCCCATCAGTGCAACCTGTGTGACTTCCCAGAAGTTCATTCTCCACTATCACCTTGCAAAATGGTTGACCCAGCTGTGTGCAGCCTTTCCTTACCATTCTTTTCTTCCAGTCCGTTTTGGTGATACATTTAACTACTTTCAGAAACAGTCACATATTATGGTGAATTTTTTCTATTGTTCTATTATATATTTATATGTTATTACGTTATTATATATCACAGTATATATTTATATATTATATGTTGTTATATTTTTTCTATTGTATATATTATATATATTAAGGAGAGAAACACGATATATTTGGCCTAGGCTGGAGATCCAGGCATTCAAGAGAAAGTAGGTGAAGACTCCATGGGGGTATTTACTGCCATTTTGGTCAGACAGTGTAAGATGCCCTCACCCTAGACCTCTGGCTCTTAAAGTAATGGGTGCCCAGAAGGGTGTAAAAAAGCTGTGGTGCATGCAGGCTGTCTGGGGGCAGATAGTTCTGTCCTTCATTACCCACAGGAGGGACACGGGAGGCCACGCTGTCCAGGACAGTCTAGCCAAGGAGACCCTCACCTTGACAGCCTGTAGCGCTCAGCATTTTTCTCCCCTTTTATGGGAGGGATTTGGGGTATCAGACAATAAAGTCTCAGACTGTAATCAATTACCCTGTTGACTGAAATACTTTAACCAAAAAAAGCTCAGCCTTAGTACATAATGTGCTTGTCTTGGAGCCAAGTTACTTTTGCTCTGACCTCAGATGCCCCTGTTGTAGGAAATTTAATACCAAAATGCCCAGGACTTCATGGCACCTTGGCCTACAGGCCATGTGACATGTGACCTGTACTTTTTTTTGTTTGTTTGTTTGAGACCGAGTCTCGCTTTGTCGCCCAGGCTGGAGTGCAGTGGCGCGATCTCGGCTCACTGCAAGCTCCACCTCCCAGGTTCAAGCCATTCTCCTGCCTCAGCGTCCCGAGTAGCTGGGACTATAGGCATGCGCCACCATGCCCAGCTAATTTTTTTATTATTATTATTTTCAGTAAAGACGGGGTTTCACCATGTTAGCCAGGATGGTCTGGATCTCCTGATCTCGTGATCTGCCCGACTTGGTCTCCCAAAGTGCTGGGATTACAGGCCTGAGCCACCGCACCCGACCATGACCTGTACTTTCTCTGCAATTAAATCTACACAGCTATACAGATGCAGGCACACACAGCGTAGGAATGTGCACATGCACGCACAGATACACACACAGAGGTGGGCACAGGGACCATGACAGCAGAAACGCAGAGATCAGGATCCAACAGAAGTTTCAGAATGGGTGGTGGTTATGCGCAGCAAACGCAGATCTATCTATGGAGTGACGTGTGCTTACAGGATATGAGTATGTGATCCCATGTGGGTATTTTCTGACTCATTTATAATCATCTGAATAATCAGTAGTAATTGATCTTTATGTTCTCCCCAGTGTAACTGAGTAAGTGACCAGAGTGGTTCTAAGAATTTCCACATCTTTGCCGGGCGCGGTGGCTCAGCCTGTAATCCCAGCACTTTGGGAGGCCAAGGCGGGCAGATGATGAGGTCAGGAGATCGAGACCATCCTGACTAACACGGTGAAACCCCGTCTCTACTAAAAGTACAAAACATTAGCCTGGAGTGGTGGCGTCTGTAGTCCCAGCTACTCGGGAGGCTGAGGCAGGAGAATGGTGTGAACCCGGGAGGCGGAGCTTGCGGTGAGCCGAGATTGCGCCACTGCACTCCAGCCTGGACAACAGAGCAAAACTCTGTCCCCCCCCCAAAAAAAAAACAAAAAAGAATTTCCACGTCTTCTACTTGCCTCACTCAGTCCTCCGTGGCGCTTAGCTTCCCTTCAGCGCCTCTTCTGCAGGCTTATCGGTGTGCTTAGCTCAGTGGGTGAACACACTCGGGCTAAGCACTCACATGGAGAGAAACACCTGATACACCAACCTATTGAAGTCTCTCTGGCTTCCGTGTGCTGTGTTAGATCTCTCAGCATGGCTTTGATTCCTAGCATTCGAATAACTCGAATCTCAAGGTGACTCTGAGAGACAGAAAAATGTGTTGCTGGCTGTTGGTGTGTCAGAGAAAACAGAGGCCTTTATTTGATTTCACTACTTACCTACTATTTCTGTGATCGGCTGAAATTCAGATGCATTTTTATGGGAGGTTCTATGCAAGACAGCTGGATCATAAGATTCTCACTTGATAATACAAGTATTTTCAGTTTTGCATCATTAAATTGCAATTAGACCTTCCAGAAACTACCTTTCCAGATATATTGGCTGAGTTCTGAGCAGAAGTTCTTATTCTAGGGTTTGGAAATTCTCTAGGGGATATTTGGGTGGACTTCAGGGCATCAATGAACCCCCTCAACGTGTAATGTGTATGTAATGTGTACGTTTACATGCATTTGTTCTGGGAAGTGTGTTGATAAGTTTTATTAGGCTCCCTATGGGGTCCATGATACCAAATCAGCTGGTGCTGAAGCTAAAAGTCAGATGCAGCCTGTGGAAAGTGAGACACACAGCAGGCTTCCGGTGAATGGCGGGTGTGAGGCTGGAGGGGGTAAGACCAGTGAGAATCACCAGTCACATAACGTCAGCCTGTTTGCCTCCTTCTTCAAACCTCCCACAGCCTGGAGACTCACTCAAGGGAAATACAGCTCCCTGTATTTTTCCTCCCCTGCCCGTCCCCACACAGACATGCCATGAAGCAGTGCAGTAGCCAAACAGCAGGCGTGAGGGGAGGGAGCTCCCCTCCTCCCCGACCCGATGCACAGCCAGTGGGCAAGGGAGAATTACCTTGCCCTTAGGGCTCTTCTGGTTGGCTGGGTACAGGAAGATTCCTCCATAGACCAGGGTGCGGTGCACGTCAGCCACCATGGAGCCCACGTACCTGGCCCCATAGGGAGCACTGCCATCCTAGAAGACAGAAAGAGAAGAGGCAAGATCCAGTGGCTTTCAGAATTAGCTTGCACCTACTCGCAGTCACAAGTCCAGTTGGTGTGACCTCTGCCTTCTTGATCCCCTATCCTCCACCCACTAGTGTAGGAATTGAAAAGATTATATAATTGTGCATTTCATTCGTGATGAGCTCCTCAAACCTTACGGTGTGACTGGACTTACCAAATGTAGGACTGCTTAAAGGATGAGACAATATCCTGCAGCAATCTTAAAAGAGTCTCTAAACAAACAAACAGAAAGAAAAAGGAAGTCGCCCATCCCACATGCAGTGCCACTACAGGCTCAAAATAAAGGGATGGAAGGCAAACATAGAAAACAGAGAAAAGCAGGGGCTACAATCTTAATTTCAGACAAAATAGACTTTAAACCAATAAAGTTCAAAAAAGACAAAGAAGGATATTACATAATTGTAAAGGCCTCAATTCAACAAGAAGGCCTAACTATCCTAAATGATATGCACCCAACACAGGGGTACTCAGATTCATAAAGCAAGCTCTTAGACTCCCACGCAATCATAGTGGGAGACTTCAACACCCCACTGACAGTGATCACTGAAGTAGAAAATTAACGAAGACACTCAAGACCTCAAATCAACACTAGACCAAATGAATCTCTTAGACATCTATAGAACTATATCTACAGAACATCTATAGAATAGAAAGCTATAGAACTCTCCACCCAAAACCAGCAAAATATACATTCTTTTCATCACACATAGCACATACACTAAAATTGAACACACCCTCAGACATGAAACAATCCTCAGCAAATGCAAAAGAACTGAACTTACACCAGCCACTCTCCAACCACAGCTCAATAAAAATTGAAATTGAGACTAAGAAAATCACTCAGACTATACAATTACATGAAAATGAAACAACTTGCTCCTGAATGACTTTTGGATAAAAAATGAAATTAAGGCAGAAATCAAGAGATTCTTTGAAACTGGTGAGAACAAAGATAAAATAACCAGAATTTCTGGGACACAGCTAAGGCAGTGTTAAGAGGAAAATTTATAGCACTAAATTCCCACATCAAAAAGTTAAAAAGATCTCAGATTAACAACCTAATAGCACAACCAAAAGAACTAGAGATGTAAGAGCAAACCAGCCCCAAAGCTAGCAAAAGACAAGAAATAATCAAAATCAGAGCTGAACTGAAGGAGACTCACACACACACACACACACACACACACACACACACATACACACACACACAATTCATGGCTGGGCCCTGTGACTCATGCCTGTAATCCCAGCACTTTGGGAGGCCAAGGTGGGTGAATCACCTGAGGTCAGGAGTTCGAGACCAGCCCAACCAACATGGTGAAATCCCATCTCTACTAAAAATACAAAAATTAGACAGGTGTGGTGGTGTGTGTCTGTAATCCCAGCTATTCCGGAGGCTGAGGCAGGAGAATTGCTTGAACCTGGGAGGCAGAGGTTGCAGTGAGCCGAGATTGCACCACTGCACTCCAGCCTAGGTGACAGTGTGAGACTCCGTCTAAAAAAAAAAAAAAAAAAAAAAAATCAAAAGATCAATGAATCTAGGAGTTTGTTTTTTGAAAAAAAAAAAACTGATAAGATAGATAGACTGCTCACTAGATTAATAGAGAAAAATAGAGAGACGATCCAAATAAATTCAACGAGAAATACCAAAGGGGATATTACCACTGACACCACAGAAATACAAACCATCAGAGACTACTGTGAACACCTCTATGTACTCACACTAGAAAATCTAGAAGAAATGGAAAAATTCCTGGACACATACACTCTCCTGCAACAGCCAGGAAGAAACTGAATCCCTGAACAGACCAATAACAAACTCCAAAATTAAATCAGTAAAAATAGCCTATCATCCAAAAAAAGCCTATAACCAGAGAGATTCAGAGCCGAATTCTACGAGATACATAAAGAAGAGCTGATACCATTTCCACTGAAACTGTTCCAAAAAAACTGAAGAGGAAAGACTCCTCCCCAACTCATTCTATAAGGCCAACATCATTCTGATACCAAAACCTGGCAGACACACAATAAAAAAAAAAACAAAAAACTTCAGGCCAATATTCTTGATGAATATTGATGCAAAAATCCTCATCAAAATACACAGCAGCAGCACCTTATAAAGCTTATCCACCACAGTCAAGTAGGCTTTATCCCTGGGATGCAAGGTTGGGTCAACATACACAAATCAATAAATGTGATTCATCACATAAAATGAACTAAGGACAAAAACCACTTGATTATCTCAATAAATGCAGAAAAAGGCTTTCAATGAAATTCAATACCTCTTCATGTTACAAACTCTCAACAAACTAGGTATTGAATGAACATACCTCAAAATAATAAGCTCCATCTATGACAAACCCACAGCCAACATTATGCTGAATGGGCAAAAGCTGGAAGCACTCCCCTTGAAAACTGGCACAAGAAAAGGATGCCCTCTCTCACCAGTCCTATTCAGCATAGTATTGGAAGTTATGGCCAGAACAATCAGGCAAAAGAAATAAGTAAAGGGCATCCAAATAGCAAAATAGGAAGTCAAACTATCCCTCTTTGCAGATGACATGATTGTATAGCTAGAAAACCCCATAGTATTGGTCGGCTAGGCATGGTGGTTCACACCTGTAATCCCAGCACTTTGGGAGGCCGAGGTGGGCAGATCACGAGGTCAGGAGATCGAGACCATCCTGGCTAACACAGTGTAACTCCGTCTCTACTAAAAATACAAAAAATCAGCTGGGCGTGGTGGCAGGCACTTGTAGTCTCAGCTACTTGAGAGGCTGAGGCAGGAGAATGGTGTGAACCTGGGAGGTGGAGCTTGCAGTGAGCCAAGATCATGCCACTGCACTCCAGCCTGGACAACAGAGTGAGACTCTGTCTCAAAATAAAAAAAAAAAGAAAAAGAAAAAAAGAAAACCACATAGTATTGGTCCAAAAGCTCCTTAAGCTGATAAACAGCTTCAGCAGAGTTTCAAGATACGAAATGAACATACAAAAAAATCATTAGCATCCCTACAGCAAAAACAGCCAGGCCAAGAGCCAAATCAGGAACATAATCCCTTTCACAATTGCCACAAAAATAATAAAATCCCTAGGAATAGAGCTAGCCATGGAGGTAAAAGAGTTCTATAATAAGAGCTACAAAACATTGCTCAAAGAAATCAGAGATGACACAAACAAATGGAAAAACATTCCATGCTTATGGATATAAAGGATCAATATTGTTAAAATGGGCATACTACCCAAAGCAATTTACAGATTCAGTGCTGTTCCTATGAAACTACCAATGACATTTTTCACAGAACTAGAAAAAGACTTTTAAAATTCATACGGAACCATAAAGAGACAGAATAGCCAAGGCAATCCTAAGCAAAAAGAACAAAGCTGGAGGTACCACATTACTTGACTTCAAACTATACTACAGGGCTACAATAACCAAAACAGCATGGCACTGGTACAAAAACAGACAAATAGACCAATGTAACACAATAGAGAATCCAGAAATAAGGTCATACACCTACAACCATTTGACCTTCAACAAAGCTGACAAAAACAAGCAATGAGGAAATGACTTCCTATTCAATAAATGGTGCTGAGATAACTAGCTAGCCATATGCAGAAGGTTGAAACTGGACCACTTCCTTATACCATATACAAAAACTAACTCAAGATGGATTAAAAACTTAATGTGAAACCCCAAACCATAAAAACCCTGGAAGACAACCTAGGCAATACCATTCTGGATGTAGGCATGGGCAAAGAATTCATGACAAAGACACCAAAAGCAATTGCAACGAAAACAAAAATTGCCAAATGATATCTAATTAAACTAAGGAGCTTCTGCACAGCAAAAGAAACTGTCAATAAACAAGACAACCCACAGAATGGGAGAAAATTTCTGCAAACTATACATCTGAGAAAACTCTAATATCCACCACCTATAAGGAGCTTAAATATATAAGGGGAAAAAAAAAAAACATTAAAAAATGGGCAAAGGACATGAACAGACACTTTTCAAAAGAAGACACACCCAGCCTGGCCAATATGGTGAAACCCCATCTCTACTAAAGATACAAACATTAGCTGGGCATGGTGGCACGTGCCTGTAGTCCCAGCTACTTGGGAGGCTGAGGCAGAAGAATCACTTGAACCGAGGAGGCGGAGGTTGCAGTGAGCTGAGATCGCGCCACTGCACTCCAGCATGGGTGACAGAGAGAGACTCCCTCTCAAAAAAGAAAAAAAAAAAAAGAAGACATACATGCAGCCAAAAAGCATATGAAAAAAGCTCAATATCATTGCTCATTAGAGAAATGCAAATCAAAACCACAATGAGATACCATCTCACACCAGTCAGAATGACAATTATTTAAAAATCAAAATGTAACAGATGCTGGCAAGGTTGCAGAGAAAAGGGAATGTTTATGCATTGTTGGTGGGAGTGTAAATCAGTTCAACCATTGTGGAAAGCAGTGTAATGATCTCTCAAACAGCTAAAAGCAGCCATCCCATTTGACCCAGCCGTCCCATGACTGGGTATATACCCAAAGGAATAGAAATCATTCTATTGTAAAGACACATGGATGTGTATGTTCACTGCAACACTATTCACAATAGCAAAGACATGGAATCAACCTAGATGCCCATCAGTGGTGGACTGGATAAAGAAAATGTGCTACATATACACAATGGAATACTATGCAGCCGTAAAGAAGAATGACATCATGTTTCTGCAGGAACATGGGTGGAGCTGAAGGCCTAATTATCTTAAGTAAACTAACACAGAAATAGGAAACCAGATGCTACATGTTCTCACTTACAAGTAGGAGCTAAATGATGAGAAACTCATGGACACAAAGAGGGAAACAACAGGCACTGGGGCCTACTTGAGGGTGGAGAGAGGGAGGAAGGGGAGGAGCAGAAAAGAGAAGTATTGGATACCAGGTTTAGTACCTGGGAGACCAAACAATCTGTACAACAAACCCCCATGACACGAGTTTACTTATATAACAAACTTGCACAACTACCCCTGAATCCAAAATAAAAGTGTGGAAAATAAAATCACACCTGCATCACAGGAATGTGTTCTGGTGTCTAAACCACTGTGGGATGAATATAGTTAACAATAATATCTGACATTTTCAAAAAGCTAGAAGGAGGATATTGAATGTTCCCAACACAGAGAAATAATAAATGTTTGAGATGATGGATTTCCTAATTATACTGATCTGATCACTGTACATTATATATAATGAAACATCACTATATATCCCATAAATATGTACAATCATTATATGTCAATTAAAAATAAAACAATGGGCCTGGCGTGGTGGCTCACGCCTGTAATCCCAGCACTTTGGGAGGCCGAGGCAGGTGGATCACCTGTGGTCAGGCATTCAAGACCAGCCTGACCAACATGGTGAAATCCCGTCTCTACTAAAAGTACAAAAATTAGCCGGGTGTGGTGGCGGAAGCCTGCAATCCCAGCTACTCGGGAGGCTGAGGCAGGAGAATCACTTGAACCGGGGAGGTGGAGGTTGTGGTGAGCCGAGATCGCGCCATTGCACTTCAGTCTTGGCAACAAGAGGGAAAGTCCATCTCAAAATAAAAATAGATACATAAATAAATAAAATAAAGTTAAATAAATAAAATGATGACAATTTTAATGATTAGTCTCCTCCTCCATAATTCATGGTCACCATCTTTTTTAGTTTTTATGGCTCACACTTGGCACTGCACCAACAGGTGGAATTTGTGAAAAATGTAAGGAAATATTTCTGCTAATTAGGTGAGTCCAATGCTCTAACAATTGTCAAAAATGAAAATGAATGCAAAACAAACTACCAGAGCCCTGAAGCAGTGTTTCTCATTCATTTCCTCCACAATAAGCAGATTCCTGAGAATGGCCTGATTCACATTCCTCTTCCCTTCCAGATACGGAATTGGGTGCTCTGCAGCTGGGCTTCTGTCCTGTCCACACCCAGCAGGTGCACAGCTCATAAAGCAGGAAGAGGAACCGGGGTGGAGGAGGCAGAAACTCCATAGCCAGCAGGGAGGCGCTGTCTCCCCTGAGGTTAGGCAGCCCTGAACCACGCACCTGTGTGTGGGAGTGAGGATTCTTCCCCACGTGATTGTTTCCAAGCAGGCTCACGTTGTGGTTAAGGGGATGGGTTGACAGCCAGAATGCTTGGGTTCGAATCCTGGCTCAGCCACTTACCTTGGATAAGTAATTGAACTACTCTGTGCCTCAGCTTCCCCATCTGTACCTGCCTCCAAGAGTTGTTATGAGATAAAAGGAGCTATTACACGTAAAACACTAAAATAGGGCTTACGACATGTTAATCACCCAATACATGTTAGCTATTATTATTATCACCTTGAAACACCCCCAAATCGTAATTACAATGAACATCATCATATTCCGTTGTCTTCTAGTTGCATGCCGTGAAACCACATTTAGACAAAAATTACCAAGTCTTCTCCTATTTTAGATACTTAACACTCTATCAGACCCGAGGTGAAGCACCTTGGCCTGACTTGAGAGTGAAGACTGAAGTGAGGTTCCAGAATTCTGTTTTACCAGAAATAATTCTACTTCTAAGAATGCCTTCATACCTTTTTTTTTTTTTTTTTTTTTTTTTTTGAGACAGAGTCTTGCTCTGTTGCCCAGACCGGAGGGCAGTGATGCAATCTCAGTTCACCGCAGCCTCCTCTTCCTTTTGGGTTCAAGTGATTTTCATGCCTCGGCCTCCCAAGTAGCTGGGATTACAGACACCTACCAACCACACCCAGGTAATTTTTGTATTTTTAGTAGAGATGGTGTTTCACCATGTTGGCCAGGTTGTTTTCAAACTCCTGACCTCAAGTGATCTGCCCACCTTGGCCTTCCAAAGTGCTGGGATTACAAGCGTGAGCCACCATGCCCAGCCTTACTTCTAGGAATGCCTTCTAAGGGAATTTTCAGATTAGAAAAATGAGGTACAAAGGGGCTCACTACAGCATTATTTATGGAGTGAAAAGCTGGACACAGCCTAAGTGTGGAACAACCTGAGAATGACTAAGCATGTTACGGTACAGCAATTTGCTTTTGAAGAACTTTTACTGACTCGGAAATGCTCGTGAAGTCAGTAGAAAAGCAGGTTTAAAAACTGTTTCCAGTTGAACCACATTTGATAACTGGGTAAGCACATTTGCAGAAAACAAACCCTAGAGAAATGTATCAAGATGTTCAGCCGAGCGTGGTCACTCACGCCTGTAGTCCCAGCACTTTGGTAGGCTGATGCCAGAGGATCACGAGGTCAGGAGATCGAGACCATCTTGGCCAACATGGTGAAACCCCGTTTCTACTAAAATACAAAAAACTAGCCAGATGTGGTGGCCCACAGTGGGGTTTTTGAGGGTGAAGCATCTTACACATGGATTTTGTTTACATTTTCTTATGTTTTTTGGTGTCTTCCATGTGATGTGTTACACAGGAACATAATTTTTATATTTAGAGAAAACATTAAGTTATAAAATCAAAACATTTAAATACAGAAAGAATCTTTCAACAGACACACAGTGAACTCTCAGGAACTAGAGATGGAACCCATATTGCTAAGCTCCTAGTTTTTTAGCCCAGAAGGACTTGACATAACAGAGACAGGTGTTTCTACTCTTTAACTAACCTTTGCTCTGTAAAGAAAAGCTATGAGAAATCTATCAGTTAAAGATAGACAGATAGATAGATGATAGATAGATAGATAGATAGATAGATGACAGAGAGAGACGGAGAGAGAGAGAGAGATAGGTGAGAGTGCGGGAGGGAGCGAGGGCGGGAGGGAGCGAGGGCAGGAGGGAGGGATAACTATAGATGCTCGTAACTTGGGGGAGGGGAGCAAGGGCCTCTGAAGGTGTAGGATACAATTTGCCCTTGATGATTACACCCATTCATTTTTACAACACTGGGGAGAAACATCCTTGGCCCACATCTGCTTATTATGAGAGTGTTCCGAGAAAGCCACAGTTTTAGCAGAAAAAGCCCAGGAAAGTTCACCACAGAGTCCTTCTCCACCACATCAATGCTCCTGCTTAATCTTCTCATCAAACAATGGCAGTTTTGCAAGGGTTTTGCTGGAAAATCACTACAATCCTGATTTAGCTCCTTCTGACTTCTTTTTGTTTCCTAATCTTAAAAAACCTTTAAAGGGCACCCATTTCTCTTCGGCAAATAACATTATAAAGACAGCCTTGACAGGGTTAAATTCCCGTGCCTCAGTTCGTTACAGACGGATTAAAGGGTGGGTATGAGCCCTTACAAAAGCATCTGAACCTGATGGAGCTTATATTGAGAACTAAAGTTTATATTTTATGTTTTTAATCCCTTTTAATTTCATTTTTCCATGAACTTTTTGAGGGCCTCTCATATAATTATTTCTTCTAAAAGCAAATGCAACTGAGTGAGTGAATCTATAGGTTGGAGTTTAGTTTAAACAAATGACTTCAGAGAGGATCTGGCCTGAGCTCTGAATTTTGTAAATATGATCCCTACCTTCTTTATAAAGAATTTATCCTGGAAAAGCTCAAATGTAAAGATAAGTACTACCTTTAGAAGGTAAATTTTAGCTACATAAGATACTAAATGCTTATGAAGAAAGGCAGAGTCCATCATCTTCCTACTGACCACAGCCATGAACAGTGGCACCAACCTCTTTCAGCAAAGCCCCCGAAGCCACCGCCCAAACGGGACCCCACGGGGACAGCATTCTGTGCCACCTGGCTTTCTTCACTCACCTCAGGGAATTTCTTTTTCTGCACATATTCAGTGGTGGCCGCATCAAAGTACTTGGCGTAGCCCTCATTCAGGCTGTAAATCTTTCCTTTCTTCTTAATCTTGACATCTTTTTCCACCAGGACAAATTCACCAAGAGCCTAGCAACATGAAGAGAGATGCCAGGAAGAGGAGAGAAGCCAGGAAACAGAAGCCGACCGCAGGATCCCCACAAAGAGAGCAGGAGATGGGGGCCCTGCTGGCAGAGCCCAGGCTTGGCTGGGGTCACTCTGAGCCTGCCCTGTGGTGGTTTCACAACTGGTGGGAAGATCAGGGATCACATGGAGCCCACAGGAAGCCCAAGCAGTAACACAGCAAGCAGGAAGACAATTCAAAGGAAGAGGCCATAGTCTTCTTTCTCTTCCTTTGTGGCTTCCACTATCAGCGAGGTATGAGGAACCCAGCTGTGTGTATCTCCCCAGTTCTCACCCCCAGATTAACGTTTTCAGGAAGATGGGCCATCAACAGTGAGAGGAAGAAGTTACATTGTTGTATGAGGGATGCATTTTAACGATTAATTTGTGGTACAGTTATTTTGTTTATGTTAGTGATTAAACTGTAGAAACCATTCACAGTTTCTGCTATCCCAGTCTTATCTGGGGAAAAGAGGAAGAAACTGTGTTCACCCAGCATAAGGAAAAAGTTGGTAAAACCTAAAGGAATCCTCAGACACATTAATAGAACTACGCCCAGTCCCTCTGCAGTCCCCCTGGAGCCGCCGTGGTCAATACCTGCAGGGCATCTCCCAAATACCCCTTTGTCTAGTTCTGGTAATATCACTAAAAGTCATTAAAAATGTGATCAGCTTGTGGCAGATACCACCTTCAATGCTCGTGTCTGTCAAAGTCACTAGGAGGAAAATCAGAGCCTGGAAACCAGATCCATTTTGATGAATGTCAAAGATTTTGAGACAGTGAAAAACTCCAAAATGACAGCTCACAGTCGGCACCTAGGTCAGAAGGTTCCCACGGAACATCAGAGGTATTCCCAGGATAAAAAGAGACAAGGCCACAGAATGACTGCACATAGCAGAGGTGCGGCTACGAGAGCTGGCACTGTCTGTGTCCGAAACAAGCCAGTGCCAAGGAGACTCAGTAACAAAACAACTCAATCCTCTCCTGCCTAACATGAGTGACAAACGACTTCAATCTCCCTGCCTCCTAGATAAAAATTATTACGGTAACTAGTCATTGATTGCACCCACTTCCAGACAATATCCAATCCGGACTGACCCTCTCTTCCTCAAATCCTGTTTAGAATCACCAAGCAAGACCCCAAGTGCTATAAGCCCGTCTCAACTCCCTCCTTATGCAGCACCCCGCGTTTGCTCTGCAGTGCCTGCTAAATCTAACTTCCGGTTGTTACAGGTGCACGAGTGATGGTCTCTGACTCATGAGCTTTAATCCGCTGTGGGCATCTGTTGCTTTGGAGCAGCCCGGCGCTGATTTCTACTTCTGAAAAGTGCCCTGACTTGCTTTGAAGAATTAACTCTTCTCATTGGATGCCAGTCTAGGAAGACTCATATCTGGGCCCCTTGTAGGCCAAGGTCAGGCATGTGCCTTAGCTTGAAAATGAGACACCCTCCCTGGGATTGAAACCTGAGTGAGAGGCGCAGCACCAGGGCTGGTGTCCAGGCCAGACCGGCCATGTTGCGAGACCACTGCCGTGCCTCCTGCTTCCTGGTGCTCTAGTCCTGCCCATTCCTAGCCAGGGTCCTCAGCTTTCCCATCAATGCAGTAACTCTTTTCACTTAGCTGAGCTGGGGTCAGTTTTACTCTTGCTTTTCAGCAAAGAGGGTGGAGATGTGCAACCGTCATCTGAACAGCGGCACTCCCTCACCACCTGGACAGAGGCGCTCAATCTGCATCAGGGTGGGTGAAAATGCCTTGTGTTGATCCACTCCTGGGGCTGGGGCTGGGGCTGGGGCTGGGACTCCCAGGCCCCGGGAATATTGTTTCCACAATTTTATTAACCTGGAAAATGTGTTCCTTTGTTCTGATTGTGTGGTCACCGGCAACCGCTGGTTTTTAATATGGGCTCTCATACACTCTGTTACCGATGATCAGAAACCAGATCCTTGTCACAAGAAACAACAGCTCCCATTTGTGAATGAGCGCCTTGACATTGAGCTTTATCCCACAATGGAGAGTTGGTTAAGAGGAGGTGGTCTCTCCGTGCCTGAACAATACGTGTGTTCGGACAAAATCAAATCACCAGTCCTGCAAACCCACAGGTCTCACAGGCTGTTTGACCCACCAGGGAATGCTGCTTCCATGAGCTGCTGGCCGCTCTCCACGGCATTTCTAACTGTGACACCTGCCACAAGCTGCCTCTGCTGGATGTCAAGCAGGACTAAGCTTTGTGCACTGGGTCTTTGCTCAAATGTCCTTTTTAGTAGGGTGATGTGATCCAAAGGGGTTTCAGGCTGATACACAGAGATCTGGAAAGATGCTATGGTTCAGCTCTTCCTTCCGTCATGTTGACAAGCTCTGGTGCCCACCCGTGTCCAGACTGGGCCCTGCTGTCAGGACTGAGGGCAGAAAACAGAGAATCTGTCTGTGCCTGGGAGTCCTTGAGTTGGGTGCCTGAGTCAAAGCACCTCCCACCACCTTTAGAACTGCTCAGAATGTTCTTGGAGATATTTTGCTTGTACTCAAGAGCAGTTATCTTGGAAATTCAGTGTGGTAGAGTAATTAAAGCACAGACTGCTGGAGCGTGACTCCTGATACCAGTCACTAGCTCGACCGTGCGCAAGTTACTCACTCTCTCTACACCTCACTTTCCCCATCTGAAAATGGGAAAACAGTAGGACATACCTCAGGGCCATTGCGACATTTAAATGCATTAATAGATGTAAATTTCATAGGGCAGGTACTTTACATTCCTACCACTTACGAAGAATTATCTAACTCTTAGCTGTTATTCTACAACAACTTTAGAAAGGGTGTTTTATTGTCTGAGGGTAATATTTGTAAGCCACAGAATTTCTCAGGGTTTGCCAGCTTCTTTGAACATAGGGCATTAGCAAACTGACACAGCGATGGGTCTTGGTCTATTGGGCGTATATGTGAAAGATTCTATTTGAAAAGTTTCTGGGTTTCCATACTGTAAACTCTGTTTTGTGAGTTAACTCCATGTCATTCTGAAATTTTGCAGACCCCTCCCTCCACACATGTGCACTAACATGTGACTCCACAAGGAACGGCATGCGTGTTTGATCAACGCTCCATCTCCGCTGTCTGGAATGGTGCTTTGGGACACAGCAGATGCTCAACAAACATCTGTAAATCAAAACTTTAAATACCTACCTTTGGTCTAAGTGAACACAACAGGTTTCGACGTGTTCTTCGGTCAACATTATCTGAGTTTTCACAAGACCTCAGTATACTTGGCAAAGCATTTCATAAGTGACGGGCAAGGCATCCAGCATTTAAAAGTGAAATGCACAGAGCATTCTACTAGATGCTGCTGCTCTAACGAACCCAAGCTTCTGCTGGAAATTTGCAGAATTGTGATTCTTAAACTATGGAGTTCTCATAAGCCAAAGAGATTGAGTGAATTTTTGGAAAATGTGCTCCTTAAGGACAGGGCCTGAGTTGATGCAACTGGCTCTGCAGGACACTCCTACCCCCGAGTGCCCTCACTGTGAGAGAGGCCCTTCATGGTTTCTGATGATGGCGTTGGCTCCCCAAACTACACTCTCAGGCCCCCTGGTCCCCAAAACAAGTATTAGGAATAACCAGGACATTATCGCAGAGAACTGGCATTAAGGCACAGAGGCCTATGGAGTCCCCAGGCACAGGTGATGCCATAATCTGTACCTACCGGGTCAAGCATGAAGAGGTCCACGCCTTGCCCTGTGGAGAGAGCCACCAGGGTTGCACTACCGTACAATGCATAACCTGCGGCCACAATATTGCGGCCACACTGCAGGGCGTCCTTTTCAGAAGGCTCATCCTCTGAGGTCTGCGGGAGAGAGGAGAGAAATGCCATGTGTTATTGTTGTCTCCAGAGAGAACCCTTTGCCAGGGGCCTGGGCTTCAGTCTCCTCAAACCACTGAAGGAAGCGCAGTTCTTAGAAATTTAAGCTGCTACGGCCGGGCACGGTGGCTCATGCCTGTAATCCCAGCACTTTGGGAGGTGAGACGGGTGGATCACGAGGTCAGGAGATCGAGACCATCCTGGCTAACACGGTGAAACCCCGTCTCTACTAAAATACAAAAAATAGCCGGGGATGGTGGTGGGCGCCTGTAGTCCCAGGTACTCGGGGGGCTGAGGCAGGAGAATGGCAGGAACCCGGGAGGCTATTTGGATATACATATTTTAAAACATTTTTCCCTTCTCTTGGGTTCCAAGATATAACCTTGAAGCAAACTGCAGAAGCCTTTTCTCTTAGCTTTAAAATAGCTCCCTTTCTCACCACAATACTCCCTGCACATTTAGCTAACTGCATGCTAGTATCTATTATGTGCCTTCTTAGAAGTTCCAGGAGGTAATGTTGAGACAGAAAGACCAAACATGGAGACCTAGCTGCAAAATTCCAGAGATTACTTCAATGTGGCTAATTAACAACTCAGCCATTGTTGAGACGATGTCAGCCTGAGGTCCACGTGGATTGGCACCAAAGATAATCACAAAAACAAGACACAGAGATACGGCACTCAGCACAATTCCTGCATGCCCTCCTTAATCAAGTTTTCCTCTTTTAAACCCCTCCCTTCCCCTGAAATAGTCAAAGTGGTTGCTTTGATGGGAATCTACCACTTCCCCTTTACTAGTCGTGGTTAATAAAGTCACTTTCTTTCTAGCCAGACTCACTCTTGTTAGCTGGACTCTGCAGGCAGTGAGCATGTGGACCTGCATTCAGCTACAATTTTAGTGGCCCATACAGTGTGCTCCGGGGGCCCGAGCCCACGGTCTGGTTTCTACTGGGCAGGGCTTAGGGCTGCCTGTGGGCTCCGGCTGCTTGTGGCTACCTGACCCCTTGGCCGGAACGCTAGGGAGTCTCCGGCAGCTGCCTAGATGCTTCTGTCTTGGGGATCCTCTCTTTCTCTTTCTGCTGCAGTGCCTGCTGCCTCCAATGTCTCACTGGTGCAATGAAAGTGACTTTAGAGAAGTGACAAATTTTGGGATTTGGGAACTTTGAAACTTTGGAACTTGGTGAGTTAGTCGGAGTGCATCTGACCACCGTCTGCCTCTTTTTGGGTGTCACTGGGGCTCTGCTCTATTTAGACTTGGCAGCTAGTGACACCATTTGAGCATTTTATGCATTTGTATTTGTGGCAGCCTTGGGGCCTTGCTGGGTTCAGGCTGTTCCAGGGCAGGGGTGGGGAGGGCATTGGAAACTGAGGTGAGGGATTTGGAGCTCTACTCAGCCCTCCCTCCCCTAACTTCTTCCAAGTCATCCTCCTGATTATCTTGGAGCCACCTACAGCCTTATTCCTCTTGGCCAAAAGCACCCATAGCTCCCTCCGGCTGGAAACAGTTCACCTCGACTGGTGACTTGCAAAGGTGGGAAGGGTTCATCCCACACCGTGCAGGTCTGGGGTGCTGACGCTCTCCCTGACAGGAGATAAACCTGGGTACTGACTCCTTGCCTGGCAGTGGCTGGAAGGCTCACAAAGCTCCCCTCCTTCCTTTCTCTTTCCTCTTCCTTCCTGTAAAACGTGACCTTTCTCCTCTACGTCTCTCTCTTTTCTTTTTCTCATTTCCTGTCCAATCCAGGGGTTCGCCTTGAAGGAGAAAAACAGTTTCCGACATCACAGCCTCTGATTTTGTCATCTTCTTTGGGACTGGTTACATATTCTGGCCCATTTTTGTGCACATTTTAAACTGATGGGCAAATTACAACAGGAAAAATTTAGAGTTCAAATAGTTAACCTTCACTGTGGAGTTCAGTAGAATCTTCTTTAGCTCCCTACCTTCCTCTCTTTTCGGCCTGCTTTAAATCTGCTGTTATGAAGCTGCTGGTGCTGAGACAAGACTCATTGTTTATGGTCTAAATCGAATATAAACATTGAAAACTCATTTGAAACTGAACAGAAAAAAAGGATAAAAGATTTAAAAAGAAAAAACCAAACTGCCATAGAGACTGCTTTGCCCAAAATCGGCTGCCAGCTTCCCTTGGATTACCTACCAGGGCAAACAAAGTTAGCCGTGTGAACAGCTTCCAATTTTGTCAGAAAAATAACGTGGAGCCAGCCGTCTTTCATAGGTCAGTGAGTTTGTGATGCTCTCTCATGGCTAGAGTTCTCAGATAAAAGCTCTTCGATCTTTGTTTGTGTATGGATGCATACATGTTTAGATATGTAATGTACATGTTATCGTTATGTTCCGTGTCGCGTCTAGCATGCTACCAAGCTGGCTTATAAGTAATGAGTACACATAAATTAAGTTCAAATGCTTTCCAAGTTCACATGAATCTTGGATAAATAAAACTGGCTTCAAAATTATTTGTAAAATAAAAACAAAAATGCCTTCAGAGTCGTCAGCATACATTTGTATCTAAGCAAATAAATCTTATATTTGCCTCTGTTAAATGTTTGAAGTGTCAGGGTTTGGCACACAGATTGTAAGACTGTAACCCAACCAAACAGAGCAATCTTTGTGTAATTTTTTGACAAATAAGAATAAGTTAGGATTGTTAGTTCAACGAAAGCAACTGAATCCTCTGAGTTACTGGCAAAATGCCCATGGATTTACTCTGAGGTTCTTTCTTAGGTGTTCACCTAATGTTCGGACTTTAAAAATGCTTAACAGTGAATAACTTTAAATAATGACTAACTTTGTATAATACCTGTTTTCCAAAAGAATCTAGATAAACTTAAAGATAAAAAAATTAAATACACATAAATGAAATATATGTAAATATATGTTTGTAAGTGGATTTTTTCTATAATTTAAAATCTTAAAATTACTTTAAATTAAATAATAAATGCTTTTGGAATGTCTGGGTCATTTCCAATTTTTAAAGAATTATAATAAATTATGGGAATAATTTACAATAAAATATAGGAAAACATGGTTCTAAAATTGTGAAATGACTTCATCTATAAAATACTAACATCTGACAAACAGTTCAGAACTTCTTGCTTACTAAATTTCCACTAAAATTTAAAGTTAGTAGAAATAATAATTCTAATGACTATATAATTCTATAAATTGTATCCTTTTTTAAAAATAATTTTATAGGCCGTGCACAGTGGCTTACACCTGTAATCGCAGCACTTTGGGAGGCCGAGGCAGGTGGATCACGAGATCAGGAGATCGAGACCATCCTGGCTAACACAGTGAAACCCCGTCTCTACTAAAAATACAAAAAATCAGCCGGGCGAGGTGGCGGACGCCTGTAGTCCCAGCTACTCGGGAGCCTGAGGCAGGAGAATGGTGTGAACCCGGGAGGCGGAGCTTGCAGTGAGCTGAGATCGCGCCACTGCACTCCAGCCTGGGCGACAGAGCCAGACTCCATCTCAAAAAAAAAAAAAAAAAACTTCTCAGAATCTTATCCCGGAAGTTCGGCTTTGCCTCGAGAAGGCCTAAGAGGATAACTCTCTCATTCAGCTTTTTCCTCAACCCTTGTGACCTTTTTCCTCCAATTTTTATTATCATGGCCTGGCACTAAAATGTTTTATCTTAAAAGTCTAGAAAAGCAATGTTTTCCTACATTATTACCTGATTCTGTACTTTCCTTGATATGTCTAAATTTGTCAACATAATTAGAAAGTTTCTCATGCGGTTGCTAAGAATTATGTATTTCCCTGACACACTCCAGGTTTCCCTGATGACACACTCCAGGTTTCCCTGATGACACACTCCGGGTTTCCCTGATGACACACTCCGGGTTTCCCTGACACACTCCAGGCTTCCCTGATGACACACTCCAGGTTTCCCTGATGACACACTCCGGGTTTCCCTGATGACACACTCCAGGTTTCCCTGATGACACACTCCAGGTTTCCCTGATACACTCCAGGTTTCCCTGATGACACACTCCAGGTTTCCCTGATACACTCCAGGTTTCCCTGACACACTCCGGGTTTCCCTGACACACTCCAGGTTTCCCTGATGACACACTCCAGGTTTCCCTGACCACCCAGGTTTCCCTGATGACACACTCCAGGTTTCCCTGACACCTTGTGCTTCCCCTGATGACACACTCCAGGTTTCTGATGACACTCCAGGTTTCCTGACACACTCCAGGCTTCCTGACACACTCCAGGTTTCCCTGATGACACACTCCAGGCTTCCCTGACACACTCCAGGTTTCCCTGACACACTCCAGGCTTCCCTGATGACACACTCCAGGCTTCCCTGATGACACACTCAGGCTTCCCCTGACACACTCCAGGTTTCCCTGACACACTCCAGGCTTCCCTGATGACACACTCCAGGCTTCCCTGACACACTCCAGGTTTCCCTGATACACTCCAGGTTTCCCTGACACACTCCAGGCTTCCCTGACACACTCCAGGTTTCCCTGATACACTCCAGGTTTCCCTGATGACACACTCCAGGTTTCCCTGACACACTCCAGGTTTCCCTGATGATACACTCCAGGTTTCCCTGATACACTCCGGGTTTCCCTGATACACTCCGGGTTTCCCTGATGACACACTCCAGGTTTCCCTGATGATACACTCCAGGTTTCCCTGATGACACACTCCAGGCTTCCCTGACACACTCCAGGCTTCCCTGATGATACACTCCAGGTTTCCCTGATACACTCCAGGTTTCCCTGACACACTCCAGGTTTCCCTGATGACACACTCCAGGTTTCCCTGATGACACACTCCGGGTTTCCCTGATGACACACTCCAGGTTTCAATGACACACTCCAGGTTTGACTTCCAGGTTATCCAAATAGGCTTCCCCTAAGGAGAAGCAGCTACACTGCAGGTTTTTCTTTCCCTGTCTGGTAATTGGCTTAAGAAACAACACTTTACATTTTTTATCAAAATAATTCCTGTATTGTCTTTATTAGGTTTTAATTGCTTCGAAAAGCTGAGATCTGAAAGGATTAAGGTTTGTGCATCCAGAACACCTTCTGTATTGCCTTTTATTTGTTTGTTTGTTTGAGACAGTCTTGCTCTGTTGCCCAGGCTGCAGTGCAGTGGTGCTATCTCAGCTCACTGCAACCTCCGCCTCCGAGGTTCAAGTGATTCTCATGCCTCAGCCTCCCAAGTAGCTGGTCCAACATGCCCAGCTAATGTTTGTATTTTTAGCAGAGACAGTGTTTAGCCATGTTGGCCAGGCTGGTCTTGAACTCCTGGCCTCAAATGATCCACCCGCCTCAGCCTCCCGAAGTGCTGGGATTACAGGTGAGAGCCACCACGCCCAGCCTGGATTGCCTTTTAAATCTTTCGATTATCAATCCGGTTAAACGAGCAACTATTGTTTAACAGTGATCTACAGTTCTGTTTTAATCAATTGTGTTGAGCCTTTTAACATCTTTGACATTTTCAAAATTGAATCCTAAATTCAGTTTCTGACTTTCTGCTGGGGTTTACCAGACCTATAAAAATTCATCACCACGAGGTTTTAAAATCATTTTACAGGTTCCAGTCAAGTCAAAGTCTCTAGGATCACGACCTCCAGTCCCTAAAAAAGGCCCCTATTATTAACTAATCCTTGTGCAGTTAAGCTACAGGCTTTGACTCCAGGTTGCACATATTCCATCTAAAGAAGGCATCGACTCCTGCCAGTATCGACACCAAACTCAAGCCAACCAAAGCTTTGTCTCTGGATCCAGGCAAAGGTGACAATCAAAGTCACCTGCTTTAATGAGACACAAAGACAGCCCTGTAGTCAAAACCAGTAAGATTAATTTATTAATTTTGCCTCCGTCTAAAGTAATATGATTTATTTGGTGCCTTAATACCAAATAATTAAAATGCTTAACTACTTATAACCTCCTTTCCTGTCATTCTCAGAACTAGGCTGGGCTTACGATGCTTTAAAACGTTACTACACCGGGCGCGGTGGCTCACGCCTGGAATCCCAGCACTTTGGGAGGCCAGGGCGGGCGGACCATGAGGTCAGGAGATCGAGACCATCCTGGCTAACACGGTGAAACCCCGTCTCTCAGAACTAGGCTGGGCTTATGATGCTTTAAAACGTTACTAATTCTTTATATATTGTTTTACCTCCAGAACTAAAACTTTTCAATCCCCCCAGGCCTAAGGACTATTGTGGAAGAAGTGAGCATCTGAGATAGTAAGGGCCAGTCTCGTGGGATCAAATTAATTCAGAGCCTCCAAATCCAGGACGGACACACAGAGGCTTAGGCAGCTGAACAAAACGCTTGTGTTTGTGCAGGTAAGTGCTACTAGTCAAGCTCACAGTAGCTCAATGTATAGATTTGTAGATAAGTCAATTTTGGAACTTTGCCTTTTGGCTTTGGGTTTTTCGCTTTTACGTTGCTTAAAAGGGGTTTTAAGGTTAATGAGTGCCTGCCCACCTCCACTCCCATCTGGCCTGGAACATTTAACTGGCTTTCGCTGTCTTAACTCTAAGTCCCTGGGCCATCGAGGAACATGATGGACCCAGGGAAGGTAACCACACCACCCCAGCATCCATATGGGACAAAATAAAAGCTTGGCCATCAATACTGCCCCTGGAATACCTTGACAAAAAAGAGAGAATATCAACTAAAATAAAATCCTAAGCCTCTCAACAGACGGAGTGGACCTGCCTCTTGGCTGAAGGAAATCCCCAGATAAACTGAAAACGACTTCAGGCCGCATTAGGAAGCAGACTCAGACACGCCTCCCTAACCTCCCCCACTTTTTGGAATTAGGCACAATTGAAAACCCTAAGATTGACAAAATAGACTGTTTGTCACAGTAAAATACCCAATTAGAAAAGGGACCTAAGGCCACGCCAGGCCAGGGCTAGTCACTCACTCCTGCACTCGAAGAGGAAGCCGTGTCCTAACTACCACAGGTTTTTCTTTTTCTCCAGCAGCCAAACAAGCGCCGGCCTTCGGATCAGCCGACTAACTCGCCCCCAGCCTCTTGTTCCACCAGCCAAGACTACAGCTTTAATTACACAAGAGAGTAATTTCAGTAGCTCTCCTGATAAAAGACCACCAACCACGGGCCAGGTCTGGCCAGTTTACAGAAAGCACCCTGTGCCTTTATGTCCTAGAAAGAACTTGACATATAGGGCCTAAATGGAATCCATTTGCATGTTAAGTCTCCACCGCAAAATAAACATGGGTCATATGTCAGGACCATCTTCATAAATACTCATGGCTCCCCCTATAATCTGTTAAATATGTGTGTGTGTGTGTGTGTGTGTGTGTAGTCTGTTTGTTTTGAGAGGGAGTCTTGCTCTGTTGCCCAGGCTGGAGTGCAGTGGTGCAATCTCAGCTCACTATAACTTCCACCTCCAGGTTCAAGCAGTTATCATGTCTCAGCCAAGTAGCTGGGACCACAGTCACAGGCCACTGCTCACGGCTGATTTTTTTTTTTTTTTTTTTTTTTTTTGAGACCCAGTTTCACCCTTGTTGCCCAGGCTGGAGTGCAATGGCGCGATCTCAGCTCCCTGCAACCTCTGCCCCCCGGGTTCAAGCAGTTCTCCTGTCTCAGCCTCCTGAGTAGCAGGGATTACAGGCGCCCGCCACTGTGCTCAGCTAATTTTAGGTATTTTTAGTAGAGATGGGGTTTCACCATGTTGGCGAGGCTGGTCTCAAACTCCTGACCTCAGGTGATCCGCCCCACCTCGGCCTCCCAAAATGCTGGGATTACAGGCGTGAGCCACCCTGCCTAGCCTGTTAAATATGTATATTTTGCCAACCTGTTGTCAAGCCCCACAGGAATCCCAGATGTAACTGACAGTGGGGACCATGATGTATAATTAAAACTAAATGCTGTACATACTTCCTGAATAACTCCCAAACATATCCTCGGCTCCACAAGGCACAGGAAAGCAAAATGGTATTTTGTCTTAATCCCACAATGTCTTTAAATCTTATGACTTTAGATATCCTAACTACAGCCCAAGGCAACACTTGTGCATGAATTAAGGCTGAGAATTAGATATCTACCAGATTATTCTCACAATATAACCCAAACTATACAGGCCGTAAATACTCATATTTCTGCCGTAGATTCCCCCTCTCAAGACTCTGTAACAGCACGGGTTAGTCAACTTCCTAATACATAGAAGACTCTCATACACGGTATCACTGGCACTCTGCTAACTGTTCTCTTTGGTTGCTATGGATTGTTTGTTTGTTTGTTTGTTTGAGAGAGAGTCTTGCTCTGTCACCCAGGTTGGAGTGCAGTGGTATGATCTCAGCTCACTGCAACCTGCACCTCCTGGGTTCAAGCAATTCTTGTGCCTCAGCCTCCTGAGTAGCTGGAATTACAGGTGTGCACCACCACCCTGGCTAATTTTTGTATTTTTAGTAGAGACGGGGTTTCACCATATTTCCCAGACCGGTCTCCACCTCCTGGCCTCAAGTGATCCACCTGCCTTGGCCTCCCAAAGTTCTGCGATTACAGGCGTGAGCCACCGCACCTGGCAAGGTTGCTATGGATTTTACTGCTGTTGTACATTTTCTATGGAATGAAGGACAAGTTTTCAGAATTGAAAATTTCTGTGTGATCTGTGAGTGAACACTCGGCATTACATGGCAACAAAGACTTCGCAGGTGTACTCAGGGGTTCAGATTTCAAATAGGGAGATCACCGTGGACCATCCAGGTTAGATTAGTTCAATCTAATCCAATGAGTGTTAGCAGAAAACTCTGTGGCTGGGGACAGGAGAGATGAGGCAAGAGGGGGAGAGGATGTCAGAGACTCAGAATGCCACCTGGAACCTAATGCCACGCCTGACATTTGTGTTGCACCCAGACTTTCAAAACAAGATCCCAGCTGTCCTTCTGTGTTACCCTCCCAGCAATGCCAGAAAGCAGGCAGAGGGAGAACCGCCGTTCCAGTCCTTCTAATGGGTATTAGGAGCCCCAGGCGAAAGCAGGCAGAGGGAGGCCGCGTTCCAGTCCTTCTGTGGAGCCCAGGCAGAAAGCAGGCAGAGGAGAACCGCCCGTTCAGTCCTTCTGTGGGAGCCCCAGGCAGAAAGCAGGCAGAGGGAGAACCGCCGTTCCAGTTCTTCATAACGGGAGCCCCAGGCGAAAGTTGGTGGTTGCTACAGTGGCTTTTCTCATTGGTGAGAGAAATTGAGGTAGGACTCAAACACAGCTCTCAGCCAGGAATCTTCCAGAACCACCACAGGAAGGGAGTGCAGTAATCGCCTGTCTACTCAGGGAGCCCCAGGCAGAAAGCAGGCAGAGGGAGAACCGCCGTTCCAGTTCTTCTAACGGGAGCCCCAGGCAGAGAGAAGTTGGTGGTTTGCTACAGTGGCTTTTCTCATTGGTGAGAAGACAGAGGGTAGGACTCCAAACACACAGCTCTCAGCCAGGAATCTTCCAGAGACCACCACAGGAAGGAGGTGCGAAATGTCCGCCTGTCTACTCACCTTTCTGTAGATGGCAAAGATGGTTCCGATGGAGGCCAGGCAGTCAATGTTAGAAGATCCATCCAGTGGGTCAAAGCAGACCACGTATTTCCCCTAAATCAGAGAGGGAAGCACCAACTGGTCAGCACATCTTCCCATCAGCACAATTGCTCCGTGTCAGGGCTGTGCATGGCAGAGCTCACCACATCGAAAAGAGACTGAGAACCACGGCATATCCTTATCAAAAAACACCACGACTTATGGAGGGCAGGATGCTGGCTTATACACAAATACTCCTCTGGGTTTTGTATCCATCTCTCCTGTCTGATTCAAAGACCAGAAGATAAAGTGGGTGCGGTCTTGAGAGACCCACGTCCCCCACGGCCACCCAACTCTGCTGTCCCTGGCAGCTCCAGCCATCGAGGGAAGTCCCCAGGTCCTTTTTATAGCCCCCTGTGTGCAGGGTCCTGAGAGACCCGTAGTGAAGGGGACCAGAGCCCCCAGATCAATTAAACACGGGTAATGCGACTTCCAGTGAAATGAGGTCATTTCTCCCTCCACTCAATCTAGTTCTCCCTGACTTTCCCGTGAGTATTGGCCTAGCTTCATTTGAGCTTTGTTTCTGTTTTTTTTTTTTTTTTTCTTGCTCAGCCAGAGGAGAAAAGTTAGATAATCTGTAAACTTGGAAATTCCCCAACATCTGTATAATAATCCAGTTTTCAAAAAATGATCCAGTTTAGCCCATTCATCATGCATGACACACATCGAGCTTCCAGCACACGCTGGGAACTGTTCAAGGCCCGGGGTTTGTTTCCGGGGGGCGGCAATCCCGGCAGCAGGGCTGGATTTCCTGGCACTGACATTCCCGTGGGAGAACAGACAGAAAACGCACAGGTCAGCACACACAAGCAGACTGTGGCACGTGCCCTAAGGAAACCCATGCAGGCTGGGGGCTGCCGGAGAGCCGTGAGGGGCCACATTTGACGACAGGCCTCACTAGAATTAAGAGATGAAGAAACACACAGAGACCTAGAGAGCAAAATTTCTTTTTGTTTTTTTGTTTTTGTTTTGTCTTGTTTTCTCGACAGAGTCTCACTCTGTTGCCCAGGACGGAGTACAGTGGTGTGGTCACAGCTCGCTGCAGCCTGGAGATCCTGGGCTCAAGCAATCCTCCCACTTCAGCCTCCCAAGTGGCTGGGACTACAGGTGCACACCACCATGCTGAGCTAAGTTTTTATCTTTTGTATCTTTATTTATGTTGCCTAGGTTGGTCTCAAACTCCTGAGCTCAAGCAGTCCTCCCACCTCAGCCTCCCAAAGCCCTGGGATTGCAGGTGGGAGCCACTGCGCCCATCCTAGAGACGAGAATTTTTGGCAGAGAGATCAGCAGGTTTGGAGTATTCAAGAGCTGGCATGGGCCAGGCGTGGCGGCTCAGCCTGGAATCCCAACAGCTTGGGAGCCTGAGGCAGGTGGATCACCTGAGGTCAGGAGTTCGAGACCAGCCTGGCCAACATGGCAAAACCCAGTCTCTACTAAAAATACAAAACTTAGCTGGGCGTGGTGGCGGCGCCTGTAATCCCAGCTACTCAGGAGGCTGAGGCGGGAGAACTGCTCGAACCCGGGAGGCAGAGGTTGCAGTGAGCTGAGAGCACATCATTGAACTCCAGCCTGTCCAGCCGGGCAATAGAGCAAGACTCTGTCTCAAACAAATAAATAAATAAAGGAACTGGCCTGAAGACCCATGTGGCTCAGGCCAATCGGAGAAGACAATGGCGGATCAGACTGGAGAGAGAAACAAGGGTCGTATCAACTGAAACTGAAAGTTGGAAGTAATAGGTGTGACGTAGCTTAAATTATGTGAGATGAGGGTGAAAGTGCCTTGTGCAGTCCCTGGCATAGAGCAGAGGTTAAATAAATTTGGCTTTACTTTATATTCTTTTCCATTCCTCCAGCTAAGCACAAAGAAATGGCCTCTTGTCTATTGACTGTATTGCAGCTGAACGTTGATTGAACCTTTTAGCCATCAGCAAACCTCTCTGAATAACAAGCTGTGTGAACCCACAGTGAATGCAGACCCTGCCAGCCGTGCCTGCGTTCACCGGCTTCACAGCCTACGAGGCAGGAGCACAGGAGGCTGGTCCAGTCTAACTGCTTGTCAGGCACGAAGAAATCTCTGCTGAAACTAAGCTCTCACAAAGTGCGGGCTGGGGGTGGGGGTGGAGATGAGAAGGCCGGGGGAGTGGGAGGCTGTGTAGTACAGCTCTTCCCTGGACTCCCCAAGGTTCAGCCCCCAAAAATGTGGCACTTGTTACTGATTAAGTGAACAGCCACGAATGAGCGTCCACTGAGGCGGTTCCTACATCACTCGGAACTATTTCCTGAACGAATCACTGTCTACTGTGGAGTCTTCCCTCACTAGACGGCACAAGATTTCCAACTAGAGAAGTATGCAATCGTTTGTTTCCAGAAAACAAATGTTAAGAACTAGAGGAAAATCCCAGGAATTAAAGAAAAGCAAGGCAGCTTATTTCTGGCTCAGTGTCATCATCTACTGGCCAGTGCGGACACCGCAGCCCCAGGACGCACCCTCTTCTCCTTGGCGGTGATGATGGCGTCCTTATTCTCTTCTGAGACCAGGACGCAGGTGCTGTAGGAGGATTGGAGCATGTTGATCACCAGGGAATTGGATAGCACGTCCAGTTTCTTCACCTCATCTCCCGTCACGTTCACGCTTCCTGCGATTCCATACCTGAGGAGACAAAAGGCTAAATGAAGTCACTAGGGGGTCTTAACTCCAGCAAAGAGCCGGGGACGCTAAAACGCCAGCAGGGCACTCCCCTCTCGTTCTGTGTCTCTGGAGTCTCCAAGTCACACGTGCAGAAGGCGGCGATGATGCCTTGCAGGCTGCCTCTCAGCCTTGCCTCCCTGTTGCCATATTTTCTTAGCCTCCCAGTGAGATGACCCAGGATTCAGTCTCACTAAAACACAAATCCACGCTCAGCACAGGGAGACGGAGCAGACGGGGGGTTCATCAAATCAGTCCCATCGCTATAACTGAGGGCTCCACAAGTAAAGGGCCGTGGTCTCCAGCCCTGGAATTTCTATTTTATTTTATTTTAATTATTTTATTTTATTTTATTTTTTGAGAAGGAGTCTTGCTCTGTCACCCAGGCTGGAATGGAATGGCACGAACTCTGCTCACCGCAAGCTCCGCCTCCCGGGTTCACACCATCCTCTTGCCTCAGCCTCCCAAGTAGCTGGGACTACAGATGCCCACCACCACGCCCGGCTAATTTTCTTCTGTATTTTTAGTAGAGACGGGGTTTCACTGTGTTAGCCAGGATGGCCTTGATCTCCTGACCCCGTGATCTGCCCGTCTCGGTCTCCCAAAGTGCTGGGATTACAGGCGTGAGCCACCGCGCCCGGCCAACCCCTGGAATTTCAAGCCTCTGTGGATTATCCTCACACAGTGCCCTGCTGGGACGAACTAAAATTGCCCTGTGGTAGCCTGGTGTTACTTGAACTGAGAAGGAAATTTGGGGGCAGACTTATTTCATTTTTTCTTCACTGCCATCCCAAGCAATATAAAAGTGCTGTTATGAGAATTCTATGCTGGTCAGGGACGGGGGCTCACGCCTGTAATCCCAGCGCTGTGGGAGGCCGAGGCGTGTAGGTCACTTGAGCCCAGGAGTTCAAGACCAGTTTAGGCAACACAGTGGGACCCTGTCTTTACAAAAAAATACAAAATGTAGCTGGATGTGGTGGCACACACCTGTAGTCCCCGCTACTTGGGAGGCTGAGATGAAAGGATCACCTAAGCCGGGGGAGGTGGAGGTTGCAGTGAGCTGTGATCATGCCACTGCACTCCAGCCTGGGCGATGGAGTGAGAACCTCAAAAAAAATTCTATCTAGAGGCTTTGGGTTTTAGAGTATTCATAGGCAAAGTTCTCCCCATTTCCACCCTTGCCCCTTCGGGGGGTTCTCAACACAGCAGCAGGAGGGGTCCTCCTAACGTGCCCTCCAGTCTCACCCAGAGGCAAAATCCAAGTCCCCAAGCGGGTGTCAGGCACCACCGTGGAATCTCTGTGCCCGGGTTGGCATGGCTGCCCGTCTCGCTCGTCCTCACAGGGCCTGCCCCAGCCTCTGAAACCTCTGAGGCACACACCTGCCTTGTGACTGCCCACTGGCCTTGCTGCCCCACCTGGGACAGTCCTCCTCAAGAGCCCTGCGGCGGCCACGCCAGCCAAGCCTTGGCTCCAGGATCATCTCTCAGTGGTGCCTTCTCTGGCCGTCTCTCTAGAGCAGCATCCCCGGTCCCCAACGTCCTACTCGATGCACTTTCTCCTCTGCCCTGACCACCATCTAGCTCCTGTTTATCGTCTGTGAGCGCCACAGTGGCAGGAATTTTTCTTCCACTTTGAGGGAAGCCACACCTCGTCATCCCTCCTCAGTGCTCACCACACTCACAGACCAGCTTTCTGCTGCATGACCTGCTTGCAGAGGGCAGGATCCGTCCTTCTGTCTGTTTCTGCAGTGCCCGGACACACAGCACAGGCTCCATGTCTGTTCACTGAGTTATGACGAAAGGATGGCAAGAAAGGAATTTCCCTTCCCTCCTGTTGTGAATGCCATTTATTTGTGGAAGGAAATCTCAGGTGGTTCTAACAAGCAGCCAGGGTTGAGAACCACTGATCTACCTTAAGCCGGGAACAAACTCATTTCCCACCCTCTCCCCTGAACGGCACCCCCACCTCACCCCACAACACAACCCCCACCCACGGCACATCATTTGGTGTCTGAGGAACCGTGATGTGAGCAGTCAGCTGCCTTGGAAAACACTCCTCACCCCGAAGACTGTGCCTCCTGGTCAGGACAAAAGCAAGCAAACAATAGCAGCCACAAAACTAGGTTGACTGCATCTGCGTTTCAGGGGACCACAAACGCAGGCCCTTGTTCAACACAGAATCCGGATGCACCTGCTGCTGCAGAATGAACAGCCGGCCCAGGCCTGCAGTGGGCAGAGCTGAGAAACAGGCTCCGTCCTGCACTTTGCAAATTCCCCCTCATCCGTCTAACCCCACCCCTCGGCCGACCCCCTGCACCCTCCCTCCAGGTGCTGGGCAGCACCCCTCCTTCTGGAAAGAACGGAAACTCACCGGGAGATGTGAGTTCCTGGCAACAGCTTCACCTGAGATGATGGGTGAAAGGGGCTCTCTGGCCTGTAGGACAGTGTCTCGCAGAGTTCTGACCGGCACTAAAGCTCACTGACAGTCTCTAAAGAAATGTTCCCCATGGCCATGAGAGAGCCAAGGAGAGGCCCTAGACGGGTATTCCAGTCTCTCTTGTTCCCGCCGTGAGGAGAAGAGGAAAGAGAAGGCGAAAAGGAGACGCTCGTAACTTTTAAATTGCATTCCCGGAGCCTGTGCTAGAAATGTCTGCCCAGAACGAGCCAGGGGCTTGCAGTGCCCGCCTGGGTGGTGGTGGGGGTGTGAGACAGGCCTCGTACAGCCTGGCTGCTGCAGGATGGACAAACACCCTTTCCCTCCCTGGGAAGCAATGCCAGGGTCTTTTAAAAAATAACCCAAGTATCTTCTTAGAAAGAAACAATTTCTAGCCACTGGGCTTCCCCTGCTGCCTCCCTGGGTGTCTGCTACACAGGGGCCAGGGAAGGATGCTGTCTGAGTTGGCAGAACATGGGGTCCCGGCTGGGATATGGGGCCCCTGCTGGCCCCAGGACCCTGCCCCAGCCGCCCAGAGGCTTCCATTGGCTGCGCCTGCCACCCAGTGGTCATCGACGGCTCAAGCACAGGCAAATCTAGTCAGCTTGGAATCGCGGTAGTGACAGGCACTGTGCGTGTGTTACGGGGCTGGCACAGTTGATGTCGTTATCACAGGCACTTGCTAACTCTGCAACAACCCTGAGAGTTAGGGGTGCTAGTATCCTCTCCATTTCACAAAGGGAGACTGAGGTCCTAGGGAGAGTAAATCACTGCCCATTAGCACACGGTAGGAAATGCCAAGTTAATAAGCACCTCGATTATCCAGTTCCTAGGACCACTTTGTCTCCTTGCTCAGCTGCCATAAAGTCAGTTTTGCAGCAGATAAGCAAGACCCCTACCATGGCAGCCACTGCCTCGCCAAGGGCCCTGCACAGAGGAGGAGCCCGATTCGTGTGGTGAATCGCCCTGAGATGGGCTCAGGCAGCTGGGCTGAGGACAGCAGGGTCCGCACACGGAGAGGCAAAGTCCCTGTCTACCATCAGGCGGCAGGGCTCTCACCCACAGGAGCAGGACAGGGTGCCGGCTGCCCTCACATTCCGGAAGTTGCTTCAATGCAGAGGGTGGCTGTTACTGCCAAATGAGGTAAAAACAGAGCTGAAGCATCACACACACAGGAAAACACGAGGATAAGGCGTCGTTAACCTGGGTCCTGCTACTGGGTCCCCACCCCTAAATAAACACAGTCTGTGGTGATCAAATGATAATTACATCTTGTAATCTAATGCTATCGCTTTTTGTGTTAAAAGCACTTAATTGTTCAGAATAAATATTTTAAACAATTGGACTTTGTTAGCTCTTCATTTCAAATCTCTTTTGTCCCCAAAATATGTGTTCCTTCAGCTCCTGAGAGGACCTCCCCTGGAATTACTACAAGGGAAGCCCAGAGAAAGCTGGGTTTTTTGTTTGTTTGTATGTACGTTTTGAGACAGAGTCTCGTCCTGTCACCCAGGCTGGAGGGCAGTGGTGCAATCTAGGCTCACTGCAACCTCCGGGTTCAAGCGATTCTCCTGCCTCAGCCTCCCGAGTAGCTGGGACTACAGGCACCCACCACCACACCCAGCTATTTTTTGTATTTTTAGTAGAGACAGGGTTTCACCGTGTTGGCCAGGATGGTCTCGATCTCTTGACCTCATTATCCACCCGCTTCGGCCTCCCAAAGTGCCAGGATTACAGTCATGAGCCACCACGCCCGGCCGCCGGGTTCTTTTTATCAGACTTAAACTGGACACTGGGCTGTGACCATCAGCAGTGTAATGTGAGCTCGGCCTCATCCGTGCTTGGATAAAGCACCAAAGCGAACCTGGGGGAGAAGCCTCTGCACTCGCCTCCCAGGACCAGCGCCTCCCAGCTTCCTGCACACCGAGTGGAGGTAAGGATAAAGAGTCACAGAGAAGAAACAAAGCACGGGGCCAGCAAAACACTCCTTCAGGTGACGAGAGGGCAGAGGCAGGCAGGGGCTCCACCAAGCTTCCTGTGTCGTGAATAATTTCCAGCTCCTAACACTAAGCAAAGCTTATTACAGTAAAACGCTCATGTCTGCGAAAGACGTAAGGAGATGTTTCAGGTCATCCCTCTACTTCTTTGTGCCTGTGAGACTCTCTCTGTGCCAATACAAGTCATGAAACACGATACATATTTTAATGCAACAAGCCACTGCACTCAGTATCATTATGATAACTGGAAAAATTATATGTATATTTCTTCATAGCATGTTTTCGTTCCTTTCTCAAAACAAGTCAAAGGCCCGTTACCAAAGCACACATGGTAGGAACTGGAAATGCAGCTCCCATCGAGGGCACACAGGCCAATAAGCTTCGGACCCAGTGTCCTGCCTCCCACACCCCTGCCTGGGCCTGAGGTGCTCTGGGCCCCGTGCCTGCTCCCCCGGACTCACAGGTGGGCCAGGCCGGCCTTGCGCACGGCCGAGGAGATGGCTTTGATGGCCGTCAGCATGGAGTTTAGCAGCTGTGTGAGCTCCCCGGTCCCTTTGGCCTGACGCCCCTTTTCCATAACGTAGCGGGTCAGGGTGAGCATGTCGGTTTCGAAGGGGCTTCTGTCCGTCATCGTGGCTGGAATGCTTCAAATCCTTTTCTCCCGGCAGGAAACCTTGCTTACCTCTGAGGGCTGTGGCTCCGCAGTGTGGGAGCCGATAAGAAATCTGTGCTGGTCCTGCCAGGACCTCTAAGGAAAAGGCCCAAAACACATGACTCTGACAACTGCTGCGGCCCTCAAGGAACTCCCTCTGGCCTCGGGGACCGTGGCAGCTGCCAGGGAGCCGCAGCAGTCTGTAAACAGGACGGGCTGCCCAGAAACAAGGAGCTGCTTCTCCTGCTGAGCCCCCCTTTCAGGATATCAAGAAGCCACCACTCAGGCACAGGTGGGAGGTGAGAAACCCCGCTGATAAAAAAATGACGCATAAAACGCTCTTACTCCAGGCTCCAAAGGATTATTCACCTACAGCGACTGCAGAGCCTGGCTCTCCCGAGGGCGAGGAGGCAGACTGGCAGGCTCCTCCTCTGGGACATAGGTCACATAGTAACGTAACGGCAACCCCAGAATCCCCGTAGCCAGGGTTTGGAATAAGTCTGGACAGAATGCTTTTTATTTCCAATAAGCGTGTATGACCAGTGGATATCCACAGCAGAGATCCAGATCTGGAGGAAAACTATTCTATTCCTGGCACAGTTCCTGGCACCCGTGTTATTTTGTCACTATCTCTGGATGTCCACTTTTGTAACAGAAATTGCTTATTATAAAGGAAACACTAAAGAAGTGGATAAAGAAAAACCTCCTCACCACCAGCCCATCCTCCCACCCCACTCTCCAGCGATCACGGCTCCTAGGGCTGGTGGCCGTCTGCGCAGCCAGTAGGCACTGGCCGGGTGCGTGCGGTGGTGGAAGCACTTTCTCTAGGGCCAGCCAGGCCTGGCTCTGAGTCCCAAGCCAGCTATCTGTTGGCTGCATGATTTGGGAAAGTTATTAAACCCCTTGGAACCTCAGTGGTCTCCCTCTCAAATGAGTGAGACACGAAGCATCCGCCTTGTACAGTGGCTGCAGTGAGCTGGGCCTGGTATAGTAGGCGCTCCGTACTTTGTTACCTATGACTGCCCTTCCAGCCTTTCAACGTGCACACAACTGTTGTGCGATCGTACATAATCTCACTTCACAAAACAGTAGAACATGCACATTTCTCTGAAGGTTTCTCCCCTGACAGTTATGTCAATTAGAATGTGTTCAGCTGCAGGTAATAGAGCACCTAGAGCAATTTACACGTGGGGGTTTATTTCCTCACAGGCCACGAGTGCACTAGGAGGTGGCGGCTGGCGTTCGTTCATTCGGCTGTTCGTGGTTCCACTGGGGCCCCTCTCTGCCTCGTCTCTGTCATCCTTGGTCTGCTGGATTGTGCCCCTTGCTTGGCATCCTGTGGGCACAAAATGTCACTGCCGTTCTGAACACCTGGCCCCCGTTGAAGATGGGGAGCAAGGGCAGCTCCAACCACATCCGTTCCCTTTTATTAGGATAGAACAATTTCCCCAGAAGCCGTCCTCCCACCCCCGTAGACTTCCCTGTGCACAGGGTCGGCCAGATCAGGGTCACGTGGTGACGCCCACAGCAGGAGCTGGGCGCTGGCACTGGATCAGCCAAACTGGTTGAGAAGGCACCAAGTGGTTGAGACGGGCAGTGGTGCTCACAATTTATGTGGAAACTGTCAGATAAAACTAAGATCTACCACAGTTCTTACTGTGCAGGTTTAAGATCCCAAATATAGATATGTTTTTATATATTTTTTAGTTCCAGAAAGCAAATATTATGGGAAGATGTCCAAGTCAGCACACCAAGGCTTGCTTCATTCCAGTGCGTGGACATTCAGATAATTTAGGTAAGTTTGCTCTTCAAATAGTAACGCAACAAACATCCTTATGTTTGGGCAGGTGCTTCAGTCAGATACAACCCAGAAGAAGAATTGCGATGTGACAGTGTTCCAATTCTTTGCGATGTGACAGTGTTCCAATTCTTTGCCGGGGGTGGGATCTATATTTGCCAAGGAATATGCCACCTCTTAACAGAACAAATACAGGATCCCATACCCTTTTTGTGATTTTCATTCAATCTATTTCAACTTTCAACGCTGAGGTGAATGGACAGATGGAGAGAGATGACACCTCTATCTCAGTGTGTGGCACACATTAATCCACCCAATTATTTGATCCAGTAGTGCTATTTTTACAGATGAGGAAACCAGGCCTTCCTAGGGATAACACAGCTACTAGCTGGAATCTCAGCCCAGAGCTACCTGAGGCCAGCGTTCTTTCTTCTATGTGATACTTTCTCTTTTTTTTGAGACGGAGTCTCGCTCTGTGCCCCAGGCTGGAGTGCAGTGGCGCGATAATGGCTCACTGCAAGCTCCGCCTCCCAGGTTCACACCATTCTCCTGCCTCAGCCTCCCGAGTAGCTGGGACTACAGGCGCCGCCACCACGCCTGGCTAATTTTTTTTTGTATTTTTAGTAGAGACGGGGTTTCACCGTGTTAGCCAGGATGGTCTCGATCTCCTGACCTCGTGATCCGCCCGCCTCGGCCTCCCAAAGTGCTGGGATGACAGGCGTGAGCCACCGCGCCCGGCCCCTCTTAGGTGATACTTTCTCCCATTCTAGGACGCTCCTCCCCCAGATGACTGAGCACCACACATGGCGATGCACGTGTGCCGTTAACACAATTAGAATGTAGAATAAGACAGGAGCTTAGAGCCGAGTTCTAACAAGAGAGATCGCTGCGTATAACAAAACAAGAATGTCTGCCTGTGTCAGACCAGAGTGTTGCTCAATCTATACCCAAAGGAAAGAAGGCTGGGCCGGGAGTCAAAGCCCTCTGGGGCTCAGATGCCTCAATTTAAAAATGAGATCCAGCTGGGCGCAGTGGCTCACACCTGTAATCCCAGCACTTCGGGAGGCCAAGGCGGGGGATCGCTTGAGCCCAGGACTTCAAGACCAGCCTGACCAGCATGGCGAAACCCCATCTCTATAAAAAATACAAAAATTAGCCGGTGCGGTGGCGTGCACCTGTGGTCCCAGCCACTCAGGAGGCTGAGGTGGGAGGATCACTTGAACCAGGGAGGCGGAGGTTGTGGTGAGCCGAGATGGCACCACTGCACTGCAGCCTGGGTGACACTGAGAGTCTGTCTCAAAAAAAAAAAAATGGGATTAGACTTCATAATCCCTAACTGTATTATTTTCACTTAGTTTTAAAAACACACATCATTGGCCGGGCACAGTAGCTCACGCCTGTAATCCCAACACTTTGGGAGGCCGAGGCGGGCGGATCACGAGGTCAGGAGATCGAGACCATCCTGGCTAACACGGTGAAACCCCGTCTCTACTAAAAATACAGAAACCTAGCTGGGCGTGGTGGCGGCGCCTGTGGTCCCAGCTACTCGGGAGGCTGAGGCGGGAGATTCACTTGAACCTGGGAGGTGGAGGTTGCAGTGAGCCGAGATCACGCCCCTGCACTCCAGCCTGGGCGACAGAGTGCGACTCCGTCTCAAAAAAAAGAAAGAAGAAGAAGAAAAGAAAACACACATGATCACTGCTTCCAAGTGTTTCTGAATCCAAATGAAACGTGGTTGCCTTAATCATTCGGAACGATACCGTCACACTGAGAAATACGCTAGAAAAAAAAAGGTATTAGCAAGAGAGCTTTCTGCAGTGGCTTCTTCCGTCAGTTGCTAAGGGTAAGGTAAAGACGTGGGCGTCGTTTCTAGATCGCTTCTTCTGGAAGGTGCTACACTGCCGACATAACAGTCAATCCAACTTCCCTAATGGAAGCTGGAGAAAGGGCCATTCCAGCGTGTTTTACCCTGTTTGTTCCTGTTTAATGAAGGACTCATCTAAACAGAGATGCCACTTTGTATTAATCGGTTCACCCCTGACACTCAGTATCAGTTTAATAATAATAATAATAAGCTAATAACGGGAGCTATCGTCTTTTAGGTAAGAACATTTTAATTTTGGTATCATGAGGATCAAACTTGGAAAACTCCTCCTTTCCCAAGAGCTCTGGGAATTGGGAAAACTGCAGAATGGACCTTTCCTTGATCCTAACACGTCCTGTTGCCGTTAACAGACAAGCTTTGCCTTTCACATGAGGAGACCAATGATGATTCCTCTGACATCGTTACAGAAACAGAGTGGCTGGAGCTGTCATTCCTGTAAATGATGGCAGGGTGAAGACGGCGGCCTGGTTGGTTGGTTTTCAGGTTTCCTTTGGAGCTAACGTTGTTGTCTGATTAAGGAGGTTTCCCCTCTGATGGTGCAAAACAAGGCTGAAAATGTATATTCACACAAAACCCACACACAGGTATTTATAGCAGCTCCAGTTAAATAGAAACTGCAAACACCCGAAAGCTCCTCAACAGTGAATGGGTCCACACACTGGGAGAGCCATGCCATGGACTACTACTTTTTTTTTTTTTTTTTTTGAGATGGAGTCTGGCTCTGTTGCCCAGGCTGGAGTGCAGTGGCATGATCTTGGCTCACTGCAAGCTCCGCCTCCCGGGTTCACGCCATTCTCCTGCCTCAGCCTCCCGAGTAGCTGGGACTACAGGCACCTGCCATGAGGCCGGGCTAATTTTGTTTTTGTATTTTTAGTAGAGACGGGGTTTCACCGTGTTAACCAGGATGGTCTCGATCTCCTGACCTCATGATGCACCCGCCTCAGCCTCCCAAAGTGCTGGGATTACAGGCGTGAGCCACCGGGCCTGGCCACAATGGAATACTATTACCCAACAACACAAATACTAGTGTTGTGTGTGGCACTTGGGCGAGTCTCAGAGGCACTGCGCTGAGGGACAGCAGCAGTCTCCAGTGAGTATCTACAGTCGGATTCCATTTGTAGGGGACTCTCCAGAATGTAAACCTGTGGGGACAGAGAACTCTCATGGCTGCCAGGGGTAGGGGTGTGGAGAGGGGACAGGACAAGGGGGTTTCGCATGATAGAACAGTTCTAGACTCCAATTATGGTCATAATCCCAATCTCAAATTGTGCGAACTGAACTTCTGTACCCACGAAACAAGAAGTCCTCATTCCCCCTCCCAACACCTGGTCCCTGGCATCCGCCATTCTGCTTTCTGCTTCTGTGAATTTGGCTGCCCTCGGTCCCTCATAGACATGAACCATACGGATCTGTCCTGCTGCGACTTGCTTATTTCACTCAGCACGATGTCCTCGGCATCCCCGCATGTTGTGGCCTGGGTCAGAGTCCCCTCCTCTCTGAGCTCAACGGCGTTCCCTGGTGTGGATGCACAATCTGTTTACCCATTCATCCTCCATGGCCGCTTGGGTTGCCTCCGCCTCTGGGCTAGCGTGGGTAGTGCTGCCACGAACACGGCGTGCAAACATCTGTTCAAGGCCCTGCTTTTGATTCTCTTGGGGATGTGCCCAGAAGTGGACCTGCAGGATCATATGGTAATTCTACGTCTAATTTCTGGAGGAACTGCTGCTCCATTTTCCACAGTGGCTGCCCCATTTCGCATTCCCCAGCAGTGAGCGAGGGTCCCAGGGTCTCCACCTTATTGCCAGCACTTGTTATTTTCTGTTTGTTTGTTTTTACAGTGGCCATCCTAATGGGTATGAGGAGGTATCTCACTGTGGCTTAGAGTAGTTGCATCTTCCTAATGATTAGTGATGTTGAACAGGTGCTTACTGGCCATTCCTGTCATTCTTTTTATTATGTTTTTGTTTGGTTTGGTTTGGTTTTTTGAGACAGAGTCTCACTGTGTTGCCCAGACTGGAGTGCCGGGGCACGATTTCGCCTCATTGCAAGCTCCATCCTCCAGGTTCAAGTGATTCTCCCGCCTCAGCCTCCCGAGTAGCTGGGGCTACAGGCGCGCACCACCACACCCGGCTACCTTTTGTATTTTCAGTAGAGATGGGATTTCACCATATTGGCCAGGCTGGTCTCGAACTCCTGACCTCAGGTGATCCACCCATCTCAGCCTCTCAAAAGTGCTGGGATTACAGGCGTGAGCCACTGTGCACGGCTTATTATGTTTTATTAACATATCTGTTCACAACAGATTGGAAGTGAAAGCAACAAGCCAGCGCTTTGCGCAGACCTCTGGAGAGGCGCCGGTTGTCCGGCACTGTGGGTGTCGAGGCTGAGCAGAAGCCTGGAGAACTTGGGGATCAGGAGGGAGGGATTGGCCAGTGCTGTTTATAAGTCAGCTCACCCCGTAAAGGGATCCAAGGGAGAGCCTGCTGTTTCTGCTGCGCTCCAGCCCAGCCTGGCACCTGTGCAGCTGTCATGCCCCTTTCAGCTACATTTAAATGTTGGAAGTTCGAGTTACCTACATGATCTGAAATTGCAGCTGGTGACCTTTCAGCAAATGCCAAAGTTCTTTCAGGGCCCACAACAGCATGGACACACGGGGCGTCTGGAAGGCAAGGCCCAGAGGAAGCGGGGGGGCAGCGTCCAGCTCACAGCTTTTTCAGCACCACTGATGCCTCGGTGACCGCAAAGCTATTTATGGGCTTGCTCTGCTTGGCGAAAGGTTCTCACGGGCCTGGGTGGAAGTAGTAAGGACAGACAGAGTCTCTGAACAGTGAGGCAGTCTTAGGGCAGTTCACAGGGCGGGGCCCCCAGAAAGGCTAGGATCTGGGCTGTGGCTCTAGAGCAGTGGCTGAGGGCATATTCTCTGTTAGCAAAACTCTGCTGGAATGCTTTCTGTGCCCCTCTCCAGTGATCCCAACACAGGCTCTTTGATGAAACCTCAGCATTTCTGCTTCCAGCACGGCAGACCCTTTGGGGTATCTGCTCAGCCCATGATCCCCGTCTTAGAGAGAAGTGTGCCCTGCACATAGAAAGAAAACCCAGGCCACGTTTGTCTTATGTGACCCGGGTCTATGTCTGCAGCTAACTGGACACCAGCTAAGACAGTCAGGTTTTTCCTCCGGGGAATGTGGTGTGAGACATGGAGACACAGTGGATCGGCTGACAACGCCGGGACTGAGGGTGTGTCCTCGCGGTTAGGAAGGCAGTGGGTGCTGGGTTTCATGAGAGTCCCCTGAAGCTTTCCAACAAACTGCCTTTCTGCTTTAGCAGAATAAGTAGGTTTCTGTTACCTGTGATGAAACTGGCCTTGACTACAATAGATATTACAATTAACACTTTGCAAATGAAGAAAGGGAGACTCAGAGAGGTTAAAAATGTTGACAGCCTGTTATGGTGCAGCAACGAATTAACCTGAAATCCCCACGGCTTAGCACAGCAAAGGTTTGTTTCTCCTTCCGGTCGCAGGCTGACATCGGCAGGGCAATGGCTCAGGCTTCCAGGCTCCTGCCAT